AGAGGTGATTGCCTACCACTCCTTAAAAATTTGAAAACTGCTAATAAAGAAACGCGATTTAAATTGGCGCTCCCGTTATCGACTTATCAATGAGGCAGAGACAAACTTTCGTTTTCATGTATTTAATTTAATGATTAAATAATTGTTAAATTTAATGAATTTCAAGTAAAGATTTTAAAAATTCGTACGATATTTAAATAATACCCAAAGATTCTCACTTTCTTACTTTCATTTATCATTAAAGGAGATAATGTAAAAGTGAGAAATCGATTAGAAAAAATGTCAAAACTCGTACCATTTTTTTTCATTCAATTTGAAACTAATGTGAAAAGGACAATATTTCTACTCTAAAATTTTTTTTGTAGTACGAAGGTAAAAATTAATGGGCCACATAGGAATAAAAATTGATAGCGTATAAACCGTAGGTGAGATTCAATTGAAATATGGCTGACAAATCTAGGCGAATTATTTTTTTATTTTATGAGCATGTGTAGTTGTAGTTCACATTTCAGTGAAAGTGGGGGAATACATAGTTTCAGTAAGCAGATAGATCGTCAAGGTTCTCCTGATCTCAATCTTTGACACCATTTTTATGAAGCTATAGTAATGACAAATATTTTGCCAAGTAATCACAAGATCATCGCTAAGGACGAAATTGTCGTTCCGGAACATGTGTGAAAGTGAGGAAAGAAGAAGAAAAAAAATCTTGAAAATTAAAGAATTTGAGCAGAAAGTTTACAAATTCGATATAATTGCTTTTGAAATTGAACACTATATTAAAAAATGCTTGAATTCGGCAATTTTAAAAATATAAACTTGAGTATATTAAGGGCGTAAAAATTAAAAATTACTTATCTCAATTCCACAAGCAATTAGAGAGTAATTAGATCGGCATAAAACTTTTAATTATAATAATATTCACAAAAAATTAATTAACTTCAATTAAAAAGTTTATAAAATTAAATAACTATGACCAAAGTAGTTAAAGTATCTTATTTATTCACGAATTCGCAATTTGTTTGCGATACGATTTATACAAGTAATGGTTTTATGTTATTTTCTTTTTATCTGATTTTAAAAGCATTCGAATTGTGCATATAATCACGAACTGTTCCATCAGAGGTAAACATTTATGTTATAAAAACTACACAACTCTGTTAAGAATATATAAATTAACAGTTAAAAAAGCAAGAAGTAAAAATAAGCAAATAAAATACAAATATCCGCATTTCAGTAGCATCTGAAAAAATTAATAATGCTTGGATAATACGGTTTGATAATTTTATAATAGTTTACTATTAAAAATAGAATGTGATAACGATAGATAATAATAATAAATTCTAAAAAGTAATCATATATTGGTATAAAGATTTTTTTTAAGAATTATTAATTTCTTTTTATTACATTCAAATTTATTCTAAATGGTATTTAAGGTTCATGATGAACTAAACAAAAAGTCAAAACAATTTCATTATTATTTAAAACTTTTTATGGTTCCTAGAATTAATTTTTAAACAATTTGTCTTTGATGATGATAAATACTTTTTTTTTCTTCCATAACGCAACGTTTAGTTCTAGACGAGTTGTATGAAATCCAGAATCATTTGTAATGCAATGTTTACAAAAGTTCAACTTGACCTTTTGTTGCATTACTGTTTCCAAGAAGAATTAAGGCTCATAATAAATATTTACATATTAATAGTTATTTTTCAAACTGAAGAAAGGAGAAGAAAAAGGCCTTTCACTTGCATTCCAGGAGCTGCCACACACTTCCAACTTAATGTTTACAATGGACAACTGTACAATTACAATATCTGAACTAGTACAAATATATGATGAAATGTTATTCATAGAAATTTTAGCACTAAACATACTAACACTTTACAATACAGCATAGAATAACGGGTCAAAAGACCGGTTATGGTATGTTTAGTGTTGATTCATTATTGAAAGATTCATTATTTATAGAATAAAAGGAAGGCATAATCGCAACAGACCGCTGTGTTCCAGGGGAGTCATGGAAGTTAAGGTTCCACAGTTTCATGATCAACGCATGATTATGGCAATGTGGATAGCACTGCGCACAGGCCGTCTTTATTTCCCAGACTGGCTGGTACCTATAGATCTGAAGCTGTCTGGCTTTAAAGCCGCCACTGGGGATCGAACCCCCGTTCTTCACATTGAGAGTTCAGTGCCTTAACCATTTAGGTATCGCGACTCAATTCTTTGTAAATATATTGCCCTCCTTTCCAAAAATCTTACAGAATTATTGAAATTAAACGTTGCTAAATTGTTTTTAATCAAAGTAAATTTAATATGTTTATTATAAAAGTTTAATAACAAAAATTTAAGATTTTAAGAAAAAGTCTAGCATTGGAAGATACTAATTCATATTTTGTCTAAAAGTTTTAAAAATAACTGTTTTTTAAACAAAGCAGATGCATAAATTTAAATACATTTTAAGTGTTAAAACCGTCAAACATTTTTTGTTTTTATAATAGGTAGTAAATTTTATCATAATACTATTAATACTAACTAACTAACTAACTCAGTGGCGCGACAGCCCATTAAGAGGGCCAAGGCCGACTGTGCCCATCTCAGTTTTCTTGACCTTGGGCTCTGGGGTGCGGGAGCATATGTTCCGGTCAGGTGGTCAGCCGAACGCGGAACCCCCAGTGTTAGTTCCCAAGCATGCTTGGTACTCATTTTATCGACCCACTGAAGGGATGAAAGGCTGAGTCGGCCTTGCCCAGCCCAAGGATCGAACCAAGGACCTGTGGCACGACAGCGCGAAGCGCTACCGCTCAGCCACCGGGCGTCACATACTATTAATACAACTATGTTTATTTTCATTCAATGTATCCGACTGCGTAAAAATCGGTAATTTCTATGAAAATTTCGTTTTTTTTTCTTTCTACTTTCTATATTTGAACTTCTGTTAATTAACTTATTAAATCTTTTTAAATTCTCGTACTTCAATCTTTAGAATCGAAGTTGTAGTCGTTTTTTCGCTTGCTGAGAAACGTAACAGAATAGAAATTTCATATTTTAGATGCATTTTCAGAAAATCCTCAATTTTGAGAAGATCTCTTTACGCTAACACACACTGCAAAAAAAAAATAATAATAATAATTTTTTATCTTAGAATTTTTTGAAGCTTAGTCTGTAGACTTTGTTTATCAGATATGCTTTAGACTAAAAACTGAGGTCCAAGTGTGAGTTTATTATTTTTATCATATTTTAAATAAGAATGTTAGAATTTTTAAATTCAATACTGAACAATATACTTAGTCCTATTTCATTGTATAGTGTGAAATTTTTTAAAGATTTAAATTTAAAACACAGGTAATCATATTTTTCATTTAGGAAAAAAATATTTCTATATTTATGCATTACAATTTATTGTAGAACTATTTGCGAGATATAAAAATGTGTATTTTTTATGCTCAAATTTGTCCTTATTTTGAAAAAAATATTTTATAAATTTATAAATTTACTTTAGATTTATAATGCTAAAACTAAAAAATAAAATTAAAATTTTAATTAAAGTTAGTTTCAAAATCAGTTGTTACCTTAAAATTGTTACCTTAAAAGTTCATACACAGAAAACTTCCAAGCAACTCATACTTGCACAAACAAAGAAATCACTTTTTAGTAGAAAAGTCAATACAATCTTACTTATAAAATTATCTACTTCTTATATCCAATTAGTTCAGAATGAGTTCGTAAAGTAGCTTCACTTAGAGTAACCAATATGTAAATCTGTATCCGGGTTTCAAGAATAAGATTTAACTAGGCAAGATAAATTTGAAGAAAACAAAATCGCTTACATTTCTAAGATCACCTGCATTGCACGTGAATTATTTTTAGAAGAAAACAAGCCTTGATTTTGGCTTTGAAATTTGGTTTTAATGTAATTTAAATGCGGCTTAATAAATTAATATGTTTTCTTTAATCAGCTTTTAAATTTTACAATCGCATTAAGTCAAAGTTTCATTTAGATCATAAACAAATCGTTGAACTTAAATCCTGTTTGGCTGTTTGTTGACAATCAGATTCCTCAATACAATAAAAAGTTAGGGGAGAATGCTGTATCCTGGAACTCTTTTAATATTTTAATGTTTAGCTTCGACACATGCTGTCAGATTTTTAATCTAAAAACAACTTTCAAGTACATATAATGAAATATTTTTTTCCAACATAAATAAATTTGGAGTAAAGATTTTGTCTACCAATTAAAGTAGAAATTTCAAACTATTCCGCCTTGTTGCACCTTGTGATAATGCAATAAAATATTTTGCTTTTTTTTTAAGGCACGAAATTAAGAAAATGAATAATGCAGCTGTACTGTAGAATAAATAGAAGTTCTCAGTTTGAACCAAATGTATTAAAATAGTTAACGTAAAATCGCGATAAAATGGAGTTAGCATGAACATCGAATGCTGAATTATGCATGTTGAACGTTGAATGTTGAACGCATAAACGTTGAATGAGGCATGCGTTTCTTTTAATTGTAACCTCAAGAAATAATCTAAGGCATGAATTTAATATTTTAACACATAAAATTTTATATTTTATGTACGAACAAGTTTTGAACACTGTTTTAAAAACAGTTTGGGGCGCAAGACTAGTAAAAAAGTTGCAAAAATTGGAAATCGTTTAAAAAATTTAATTAACTAGACTAATTAACTTTTAATTAACTAAAAGAATATGAATTAAATTAAAATATTAATAATTTATATATACTAATACTATGAAAAGACATAACCTCTGTCTGTCATAATAACAATAATTAACAATATCCTCTTTTAGTAGCGTATATAATTTTTTTTATTTAACCTAAAAAATGCAAAAGATGAGGAAATCAAAATGTGGATTTAATTGTGTTTTTTATTATGCTCTAATTACAATTGTGTTTTTTTTATTTTAATCTAAGAATAAATAAATAATTAAAAGTAGAAAACTGCGTAGAATTTATAAATTAATATATAGATAATTACCTGAAAACATCCAGAGAAATATTCTTTCAAATAAATAATTTCATTATTTTGAAATATATAGCATCCTTTCTGTGTTAATCCAAATAAATGGAAATGGCGATTCGAGATTTATCTGAAGTTTTCAATTTGACAATTAAGAGTTCGTTTATGTTAGGATGGGGCAAAGTTCTTGTTTTCTGTTTAGATTTAGACAGCGTCACTCAACTTAAACGGTAGAGTTCGTGATTGCTGCTAACAAGCAATTCCTTTCACAATTTTTTTTTTCTTCCTAGATCCGATAAAGTATATTTTTCTTTTCCTGTATCTTTAAGATTTTCAAATTTAGTAAACCAAATTATCACTAAGATCTTGAAGATGATGATCGATTAAAACACTTTGTTAGAAAAAGGCAAATATTTGAGAAATTTTAATTTCGTAAAAAAAATACTTGAATTTTATAAAACATCTTCTAGTTATCTGTATAATTTCCAAAGTTATCAGATAATAGATAAGAACCGAAGCAGTGCCCCGGAAGCAGTTTTCCAATCCAACGGCGTTTAACAACCCGCTCCCTTGCTTAGCATTCTTGACATTGGGTTAGTTAAGGTAACAAATAATAAAAGAAATAAAAGCTTGTATTATAATTAGGACCAACTACAGACAAGATTAAAATTTCCAAAGAGAGAGAGAGCAATTCGTTTAAAGGCCGCTGATTTGTTCCTTAACGTGGCGAAACAAAATTTGACCAATTCTACAGGGTCTCCAAAAAGTACGCCAAATGTCCTCACAAAAATGGATCGGGTCAAAAAAATCTAAAAATATATGGGGTAAATATTTTCAAAAGATGCATTCGACGTTTTCAAGCCAGAGCCCACAGAGCCTACCTTTCACCCACTGAACATTGGGTGAAAGGTAACTTCGTAATCTTCCGCAGAAACCCCCTTTTTTGTAATGCAGATTTGGATTTTCCAGAAAAAAAGTTCACTAATTTGACATGCTTGCCTCACAGTGTGTTTCACAGGTGGCGTTGTAATCGTAATCTCAAAATGAAAATGATGCACAAACTGTTTAACGCATAGATATTTTCAGAAATTCACGTCTGAACGGAAGGATGAAAATAAATGCGTTATACATTTTATTTTATAACCGTCGTTAACAGCCAACCTAATTTTTGGATTCACGGCTACTAATATTGAACTCCGTAGCCTTGTAATTTAGAACCCAATCCAGAAGACAAGGTAATTCCTCAATCCAGAATTGGGAGAAATTTTCCTTCTTGGAGGACTTTTTGATGGCGCTAACCAGCATTTACGTCACATGGTGAAGAAAACCATGAAAACCTACTACGGTTAGCTTGACGGCAAGGGGACTCTAACCTATGATCCGTCCACCACTAAGGATATTTTACGTCAACACTGTGGTCGATGCGAGCTGGATGAGGAATTTTTATCGACCAGCCATCTCTGTGATTCGACCCGATTCACCTTATTGGAAGGCATACATTCTATCTCCTGAGTCACCACCACTTATGCGTAATATATTACGAAAAACCTATTTAATAGCGAACTTTTGAAAGCCATCGCGTTCACCCTAATTCTAGCATTAACGTTATTTGAACTTCACTGCGCATGTGTGAAAATTTCTCTACAAACGCAACCCAAAAGCTCTCTTATAAAACCAATCTCGATCCTAATTCCTGGACTCGGACCTATCCTGGGAGCACTGGACCCCCCCCCCAAGTAAGTGAAAGTCGAGTATGGTTTCTTCTGATTACATTTCACGTGCGTATTTTCAGATTTTCTGACTGATGCGTATTGTCCCAACTTCCATAATAGTAACTTGTTAAATTTAGCTTGCTCAAACTAATTTTCAAGTTAATTTGCACCTTCTAACATGTATAATTTTTTACTTCATTTACTTCATCTCAAAAATATCGCTCGTTTCAGAGCGCTCGTTTCAGAACACCGTGAGCATGATTGAAAAATAATTTTAAAAAGTTACGCAAATTTTATTTTTTTAATAAAAATTAAATGCTAAAAGCGTGTAAAAATAGTTAAAGAATGTAACGTCGAAATCGTTTTAAAATATTTAAAGCTCATTCATGAAAGAAAAAATCCTATGAAAACATATTGATTACTTATTAAGATAACAAAAAAGAATGTTTATATCCATTACCAGCAGGCAGTTTCATCCTATCATTATTTTACTCTTTATTTAAAAACTCGCAGAATATAGATTTACACAATTAACTAGATAAGTTCTTTAAAAAAGGTGAAAAATGCCACTATTCTTAATCTTCACCAGCTATGCATTTTATCTCTCTACGAATATTGATAAGATCGCATCGAAGGATTATTTATCACAAGATAATATTTTGGTACAAATCTGACAATTGATTTGGATAAACACACAATCCCATGGTGAAATTGATCCGATGAAGATCGCCTCCAATAATTTAAACCTTGGCGTCAATTGTATGTTTATAAAATCTACCCACTAATTCTTTACAACATAAATCTCTGAAATTGGAGAGTTTCCAATACATCCAATTTAGAAATGCATCAAATTTAGAAAGTGACGAATTGCAAAGTATATATTATAAATAGCAATTGATTCTCTTTCACCATCATTGTACCACACTGTAAAAAATCCGGATAATATTACAGTAAAAAGTTATGATTCCTTGACAGCACCAGTCATAAAATCCATTTCACCGTAAAATCCATTTTTATCGTAAAATTCTATACCGTAATTTTTACTGTAATATTTATTTAATAACAGTGATTCCTTAAATATTACTGTAAAAGTTACCATATATCAAATAATTTGAATCTTAAATTTTCATGGTAAAAGTAGATTCTACGGTAAAAAAATATCAGCCCTCAGGGCGCAGTACTTTTTAAGGTAATTTTATCCGGAATTTTTCCAGAAATTTGTCGAGATTTACTATTAGTGCCACAAGTTACAATTGCTTTTTTTACTCATATAGATTGCATAAGTAATAATAAATATTACAATAAACGGAACACAAAATTTTTAAAGTACTGTTTAATTTGAAGGAAAATACGTTCTTATTAATTGAAACAATGTTTAAATTTATAAGTGGATAATACAAATACTTATGAAGTATATAAAGTTAATAAAATTATTATTAAAGTTATTTATACTTATAACTTTAATATTATAATTAGTTTTAAAGTTATAAATATACTATATTTATATACTTTATTGGATAATACTTATAAATTGAAACATTGTTTCAATTTATAAGTATTAGAATTATCATATGTTATATGCATTCAAACTAATTCTGAAGTAATTATGGTTAATACGATATTAATTTATGTGAAAAACATAAAAATGTTCCTACATAAAATATTTTCTATTATAATTCATATGAAATAAGAACTTCTTAACTTTCTATGCTAATTTTTACATTCTTCAACTGCTATTTACTATAACAATAGTTTTAAAAAACAATTGAACTTTTTACTTCAGAGTTTTTAATAAATATATACGAGATCAATTAATCATTTATTTGTAGTTTTTCCAGCAAAAATACTCATCCATTTCGTTTCCTCGGAATTTAATGTTTTAAAAATATAACTTACCTTTTTCATTGTTATTTTGTTGTATGACATTATGTTATTTTTCATCTTGTTAAAAAATGAATGTATAAAGTCATCACTAAACGCGCCATCTACTATCTGGAATTAAAAGTGCAAGCAGGACGTGCCTATTAATTTACCGGACGTCAGAATTCTGAGAAGAGTTTATAAAGTAGAACTAAATTTTCTATCGTTCAATCAAAATGTTTGCTTTTTTTTTACTAATTTTTTTCACTAGGAAATCTTTTTATGCGTGTTTCTTAAGAAATGTATGCTCTTATACTTTATACAACCTGTAAATATTTGTATAAAGCATTGTTTGTAATACATAAAATACATAAGTTTTTTTTTTCAATTTTTAATTAAAAAGTAAATTTTAGAATGTAAACAGAAAACAATAATGCTCTGTACAATCGACTATATATTGGTATTTTTTTAAATTGTTTTCTAATCAGCTGAAAAATTTAGATTATTTGATGCCTGTTAGAAAATCATTTTTGAAAATGTTAAATTTTCTAATCTGTATACGGTATAATGTACAGTGCACGAAATAAAAAGCGTTGTAGCATTAATAACACTGTGAAAAAAATTTTTTTCTGTGAGAATTTTTAACAGATATTAGATACTTCCATACCGCTGATTTCAAATCTGTAATAGGTTTCTATCTCTAAGCTACAGTTTTTTTAAGGATATTTTTAGTCTAACTTTGGTCGAAATATGTAAATTTTTCGACCGTAATATAAGACATGGGGTCACATAAATGTTACGTCAAACTTTTAGGGGAGTTTAGGGAACATCATCAGGATTAAAATTGCATAGTAACACCCACGTCCGGATATATCGTCGTACGACCCTAAGGTTGCTCTCCTAATATGAATTGTTTCTTCGTGTGCTTCTGAATAGCTCATAATAAGGCCCTAGCTGCATACTATGAATTTTCCGGGTATGGGTTTCTATGCAGTTATAATCCTAAAGATATGCCTTAACTCTCCAAAAATTTTGTCGCAACATTTACGCAACTCCTTGGTAAATGTAACGTTTTTGAACTTGAACATTTCGACAAAAAAAAATTTTTAAATGTGTTTTGAAGTATTTGTAGCTTTAGGAGCAAAAATAATTTCAGAACTGAAATCACCACACCCGAATTAGACAAGATCAAGCATTTGTATAAATGCAACAATAAATTAGTTCCCCAGTATAATTCTTGGTTTAAGGATTCCACGGTTCTAAGGTGTTAATTAGTGTGAAGTAAATAATTATCACCCGAATCCAAGAATTTAAACTGACTTTGGAAAATCGGCGGGCTTTAAATCACTTAAATGACATGGAAATGAATGAAGAATTGGAAGAAATAAAAAAAATATACAATTTATATATGGAAAATACTGAAGAGATTCTTAGAAAGAAGAAATCTGATGATAAAGAGTGAATATCCAAAAAAAAACAAGAAATTAGTTTGTGAAAGATTAGAATTGAGACAAAAAGAAATCAGTTAGAACTTGCTGAAATGAAACCAGAACATTGTTAAGACCATAAGAGGAAAAATAAAGAATGTAAGATAAGTGCAAGACAAGATTAAATAAAGTATTGCGAAAATCTGGCCACATCAGCTGAAGAAGCAGTTACAAACAATGACTTAAACGTTTATCAGGTAGAGCAGGAATGGGCAAACTACGGCCCGCCGGAAAGTTTCATAATGCCCG